GGAACCAGGCTCTGAGGGGTGGCCAGTCCTCTTCTGGCTGTGCCGGTGGAGATTATAAGAGTGTATGGCCATTAAGGTGAAATCATTCTTCAAGATGTTCAAATGCTCATAGATGACCAGCAGGATCAACTAATAATCACAGTGGTTATAGAGGGTGAAACAGGTCAGCACCTCTGGGGCAAATGTCAGTTGGCTTTTCATAGCCAAGCATTCAGAGGTCGAGACAGCAGGTGCAGTAGAGAGAGGGTCGAAACAGCAGGACCAGGATAAGGTAGCAGGTCTGGTGAACAGGTCAGGGTTCCATAGCCACTGGCAGAACAGCAGAAACTGGATCAGCAGCACGACAAGGTGGACTGGGGACGTGGACAGCCAGGAGTCGTCAGGCCAGGTAGTCCTGAGGCATGGTCCTAGGTCTCAGGTCTTCTGGGAGGGGAGAGATTGAGAGAGAGTGATGGGAGAATTAGAGAGAGCATACTTAAGATCACACAGGACACCAGATAAGACAGGAGAAATACACCAGATAGGACGGACTGACACTAGCCCCCCGGCAAATGACTATTGCAGCATAGATACTGGGGACTGAAACAGGAGGGGTCGGGGGACATTGTGGCCCTGTCCGACGATACCCCCAGACAGGGCCAACCAGGCAGTATATAACCCCACCCACTTTGCCAAAGCACAGCCCTCACACCAACAGAGGGATATCAACAGACCACCAACTTACTACCCTGAGACAAGGCGGAGTGTAGCCCACAAAGATCTCCCCCACCACACGAGCCCGAGGGGGCGCAAGACCAGACAGGAAGTTAACATCATTGACTCAACCCACTCAAGTCGAGTATAGCGGAAAAAGCCTGACAAGATATGATGCACCCCTCCTAGGGACGGCATGGGAGAGCACTAGCAAGCCAGTGACTCAGCCCCCGTAATAGGGTCAGAGGCAGAGAATCTCAGTGGAGAGAGGTGAATGGCAAGGCAAAGACAGCAAGGGTAGTTCACACCCCTGGGCCAGACTACACTCAATCATAGGACCTACTGAAGAGTTGAGTCTTCAGTAAATACTTAAAGGTTGAGACTGAGTCTGCGTCTCTTACATGGATTTGCAGACCATTCCATAAAAATATAGCTCTATAGGAGATAGCTCTGCCTCCCGCTGTTTGCTTAGAGATTCTAGGAACAATTAGCAGGCCTGCATCTTGTGACTGTAGCGTACGTGTAGGTATGTACGGCAGGACCAAATCAGAGAGATAATGAGTGAACAGAGATGATGCATTTGATATATGGGGGTCCCCTGTAGCTCAGTTGGTAGAGCATGGCGCTTGCAACGCCAGGGTTGTGGGTTTGTTTCCCACGGGGGGCCAGCATGAAAATGTATGCACTCACTAACTGTAAGTCGCTCTGGATAAGAGCGTCTGCTAAATGACTAAATTGTAAATTGATATATGAATTTGATATAGTTGCACCACCTCACATGTAAATTGAACATCATTAGTACAGTCGCCACTTGTATCTGTGTGTGACCCCATCAATTTGGTAAAGAACTGAAGTTAATCTGATAACTGTGTGTCTCCTTTTTGGGTTGTACGGCTGTCTGTTGGGTGAATGATTCCATTTAAGCCTTAGCAGGAGGAAACTATCTGTGTGTTTAAAAATAATCTCTGTTCATTGAGCAGAGTGAGGGTGACAGACTTCGGTGAAGCCCTATCTAAGGACAGGGCGGCAGGTAGCTTAGTGGGTAAGAGCGTTGTGCCAGTAACCAAAAGGTCGCTGGTTCTAATCCCCGAGCCGACTAGGTGAAAAATCTGTCGATGTGCCCTTGAGCAAGGCACTTAACCCTAATTGCTCCTGTAAGTCGCTCTGGATAAGAGCGTCTGCTAAATGACAAAAAAAAAAAAAAGATAGGGTCAGGGTAAGGTTTAGATTAAGGGTGAAGTTTAGGGCTAGGTTTAGTAGATAGTTAGTTGAAATGTTAATAGTCTGAAAAAGCGTGTGCGTGCAAGGAGACTTACAAACCTGACTCAGTTACACCAGCTCTGTCAGGAGGAATGGGCCAAATTTCACCCAACTTATTGTGGGAAGCATGTGGAAGGCTACCCGAAACGTTTGACCCAAGTTAAACAATTTAAAGTCAATGCTACCAAATACTAATTGAGTGTATGTAAACTTCTGACCCACTAGGAATGTGATGAAATAAATAAAAGCTGAAATAAATCATTCTCTCTACTATTATTCTGACATTTCACATTCTTAAAATAAAGTGGTGATCCTAACTGACGTAAGACAGGGAATATTTACTAGGATTAAATGTCAGGAATTGTGAAAAACTGAGTTTAAACATATTTGGGTAAGGTGTATGTAAACTTCTGACTTCAACTGTAGGATATTACAGTTCTTCATATTACGTTGATAGGATAGTCTCAAACGGAGCTCGTCCAGTTTATTCTCCAGTGATTGCGCGTTCGCCAATAGAACAGAGGTTAGAGGCGGTTTATCCACTCGCCGACGTAGTCTCATCAGGTATCCCGCACGCCGGTCTATATACCGCCGCCTCTTTCTTCTTCAAGTGTTGGGGATTTGGGCCTGGTCCGGGATGATCAGTATGTCATTGGCCTCCAACTCATTGAAGTACAAGAAAAGTTGAGATCAGCGCAAAAAAACACAAAAAATAGCACAAATGGTCAGGAGCCCGTAAAATGGCTGCTTTTCCCTCCAGCGCCATCTCAATGTAGTGGAGCGGGTCGAGAGCTTCAAGTTCCTCGGTGTCCACATCACTGAAGACCCATCATGGTCCAAACACATCAACACAGTCGTGAAAAGGGCACGACAACGCCTCTTTCCCCTGAGGAGGCTGACAAGATTTGTCATGGGCCATCAGATCCTCAAAACGTTCTACAGCTGCACCATTGAGAGCATCTTGACTGTCTGCATCACCGCCTGGTATGGCAACTGCTTGGCATCCGACTCTAAGACGCTACATAGGGTAGTGCGTACAGCCCAGTACATCACTGGGGCCGAGCTCCCTGCCATCCAGGACTTCTATACCAGGCAGTGTCAGAGGAAGGCCCTAAAATGTGTCAAAGACTTGAGCCACCAAAGTCATAGACTGTTGTCTCTGCTATCGCACAGCAAGCGGTACCAGAGCTCCAAGTCTGGGACCAAAAAGGCTCCTGAACAGCTTCTATCCCCAAGCCATAAGACTGCTGAACATTTCATCAAATGGCTTCCCTTATTTGCACTGACTCTCTAGCACATGCTCTTTGCACACTCACTGGACTCTACCAACGCACTCACACATACTACACTGACACTCCAACATACGACTACATATCCTCACACACACACTTTCACACACAGTACACTGCTGCTACTCAGTTTATTACATCATGATGCCTAGTCACGATTTCCCCCTACCTACATGTACATAATTACCTCAACTACCTTGTACCCCTGCACATTGACTCAGTACCGGTACTCCTTGTATATAGTCTTGTTCTTTTTTTGTCATACTTTTTAACTCTGATTGTTGGGAAAGGGCTCGTAAATAAGCTTTTCACAGTAAAGTCTACACCTGTTGTATTTGGTGCATGTGACCAATACAATTTGATTTTCAAATACAATTTGATTTTCAAAACCTGCAACGAGTTTCTAGCCCAGAGGGTATTTTCTTGCTCCCCACGTAACTGCGAATCTCAGTGTTTGAAAATCACTGGTTTTAATGATGTCATTGGGTAGAACTTAACTTTATATTTTTTTGGCCAATTTTCACATATGTTCACATTGGTATTGTGCTGGAGATAATGAAATGAAGTTTAAAAGTGATGGAGTTGCCCTTTAACTCAATTTGTATTTAAAGAAATGTATTGTTTTGAACCATAGAAAATATAAATGACTGATATGATTGTCTGCCATGTAGAACAGAGAAGCATGTCCGTTTCTATACATTACATTTATCTGTAATGTTCTGAACGTTTCACCGGACTGAATACATATGATAACACCGTCTGGTACGGCCTGTCTCTATAGACGGGTTGGTTGTTTAGCAACAAAACCAACGCGTGTGCAACTATGGGGCAAAACGGACTGGGTTGGCTTAGATTGTTGACATGTGACCTATATTTCATCTACAATGTTTATTGAAAACATAAGTACATTTGCACAATGAGCACTTATCTCTCAACTTATCTCTCAAATACATTGTTACAGTTGTTGGTTAGCTAACTAGCAGATTTGAGCCATATTAGCATAGGCATGACATCAGTCAAAACAAGACATGGTATAAAGAACAAGATAAAACTAGCCAGCGACGATTCCCCACATGGCATCTTATTGTCATTGTTGCAAGCCATCTGCTCATCCGGAATCACAGACTTCTGCCCCATTGAATCACGTGCATAGTTTTCGTGACGTTGTCAGCTAACCTGTGTTTTCCTTCCTTCTGTGAACAGCCAGCTCTGAGGCAGTTGTTTAACACACAGTAAATAAATGCAAGGCATTCCATGTGAAAAGAGCTTTCACATTCAAATATTTAAGTTCAAATATTTACGTTTTTTAGTCAGGATGACTTTAAAGCTACAGTCTGGGATCTGGGAATCTGGTAAATGGTCATTTCAAGTCTTGACACTTACCCATTGACTCTTGAAGAATATAACTTATATAGCCTCATGAGCCTATCCCAACATACTCTATTGTAATCCAAAATATAAGGTTTTATTCATTGATTACAAACAAGAACGTAAACCCCTCAATATGTTTAAAACTATTATGTGGATGTCATGTACTGTCAGTGAGTCAGTCCATGCATCTAGAGCGTGATCTATGAATTTGAGAGGGGTTAGTTTCCTAACCTCATCCCTCAGCTATATACCAAAACAAGCCGTGGGGTGGCCATTTTGTTGTTTTTCTGTTCCCAGAATGTAGCTTTAACAATCGTAACTATTGTGTCTAAGTCCTTCCACAAAGTCCTATATGACCAGTCTCCTGTCCGCAGTTCCTGTTCCTCCTCAGAGGTACTTGTAGACAGCCTTGTCCGCTAAGGTCTGGACCTGCATCTTGACGGGACACTTGTAGAAGTGGGAGAGCAGTGTCTCTGAGTAGCCAATTAGGAAGTAGAACTTCTGAGGAGGGAGTTTCTGCAGCATCAGGGCACACACCACCAGCATGTTCCCTCGCCGCTTTATCACAATCTCATTGGCCAGGCAGTTATGGAAGGTGCCAAAGAGGAAACGCCGCACGAACACGTCCTCTACTGTACGATCTGATGCTCCTCCCTCTCCCTGTAAGTTACCTAGGAGATAAAGAGAGGGAAGGACAGCGGATGGAGGGAGAAATGGAGACAGAGACGTTAGGAATACTTTGACAACAATTATCAAGTTCATTTAGCTACATTAATAACTGATGAGTTTAAGGCTAGCCCCTTGGGCAGCATCCTCACTAATTAGGTTGGGGTTGTCTTTTTACATATATGGTCAGATAGCTCAGTGTGTATGATGTAGAGGTAAGCTAAAAACGCACTAGTGTGCTGGGAAAGCCAGCCCTTGCGGTGGCCTATGTGGTGGGGATGGAGGGCTTGCTCATAGGTCAGTGGTCGGTCTCCTTTCCCCACTCGGATACGGGCTGCCCGATTCTATGACAAAAGAAAAGTACTGATGTGAAGTTGGAAGCAGTCTTCTCAGCAGCAAGTGAGTAACTAGGTAATGTCCATTGTGGAGGATGGAAATTCTGTAACGTTAGTCTTCGAATAAAACATACCTTGCAGCATATTGCAGTGACATGAAGTGTTCGTGTTCCAGAGTTGAAGCATATCGAAGTGCCGACTCTGGCAAGCGCGTTCTATGAGGCAAAGACATGAATGCAAAGACACTGAGCAACAGACAAGTAACATTGACAGCGAGCTAGCTAACGTTAACTGCTAACGTTAGTTACATCATTGGCTAGCCAGCCAGAAACACAAAAACGGGTCAAAGTTAAAATGTAACAATACTTTAAAGTTGATATGTAGAATATTCTCAAACAGTTGTCAAAGTATGGACTAAATGTAAACATGATTCTCACCGATAACGTCACACTCCGACAGCTCAAGGACGCAGCCATTTTGACTGACGAAAGTGTTTGTGGGAAGGGCCGTTGGCCTGGGCATGGCTAGAAGGGATACAGATTTTGTCCGATTTTACTTTTCGTAGCAGGTTAGGAGAATTTTCGCAGCAGGTTAGGACAATTAACGTAGCAGGCTAGGAAAAGGGTTAGGGTTAGCTAAAACGCAAAATATTTCAAAGAGTTGAACAGAGTTCAAGTAACAGACACATCTCAACATCAACTGTTCAGAGGAGACTGCTTGAATCAGGCCTTCATGGTTGAATTACTGCAAAGAAACCACTACTAAAGGACAACAATAATAAGAAGAGACTTGCTTGGGCTAAGAAACACAAGCAATGGACATTAGACAGGTGGAAATCTGTCCTTTGGTCTGATGAGATTTTTGGTTCCAACCGCCGTGTCTTTGTGAGACGCAGAGTAGGTGAACGGATGATATCCGCATGTGTGGTTTCCACCATGAAGCATGGAGGAGGTGTGATGGTGCTTTGCTGGTGACACTCATGATTTATTCAGAATTCAAGGCACACTTGACCAGCATGGCCTCCACAGCATTCTGCAGCAATACTGCAGGTAGCTTAGTGGGTAAGAGCGTTGTGCCAGTAACCGAAAGGTCGCTGGTTCTAATCCCCGAGCCGACTAGGTGAAAAATCTGTCGATGTGCCCTTAAGCAAGGCACTTAACCCTAATTGCTCCTGTAAGTCGCTCTGGATAAGAGCGTCTGCTAAATGACTAAAATGTAAAATGTAAATACGCCATCCCATCTGGTTTGTGCTTAGGGAGACTATCATTTGTTTTTCAACAGGACAATGACCCAAAACACACCTCCAGGCTGTGTAAGGGCTATTTTACCAAAAAGGAGTGATGGAGGCAGCATCAGATGACCTGGCCTCCACAATCACCCGACCTCAACCCAATTGAGATGGTTTGGGATGACTTGGACCGCAGAGTGAAGGAAAAGCAGCCAATAAGTGCTCAGCATATGTGGGAACTCCTTCAAGACTGTTGGAAAAGTATTCCAGGTGAAGCTGGTTGAGAGAATGCCAAGAGTGTGCAAAGCTGTCATCAAGGCAAAGGGTGGCTACTTTGAAGAATCTCAAATATAAAATATATTTTGATTTGTTAAACACTTTTTTTGGTTACTACATGATTCCATATGTGTTTTTTCATAGTTTTGATGTCTTCACTATTATTCTACAATGTAGAAAATAGTAAAAATAAAGAGAACCATTGAATGAGTTGGTGTGTCCAAACTTTTGACTGGTACTGTATATACAGTGGGGAGAACAAGTATTTGATACACTGCCGATTTTGCAGGTTTTCCAACTTACAAAGCATGTAGAGGTCTGTAATTTTTATCATAGGTACACTTCAACTGTGAGAGACGGAATCTAAAACAAAAATACAGAAAATCACATTGTATGATTTTTAAGTAATTAATTTGCATTTTATTGCATGACATAAGTATTTGATACATCAGAAAAGCAGAACTTAATATTTGGTACAGAAACCTTTGTTTGCAATTACAGAGATCATACGTTTCCTGTAGGTCTTGACCAGGTTTGCACACACTGCAGCAGGGATTTTGGCCCACTCCTCCATACAGACCTTCTCCAGATCCTTCAGGTTTCGGGGCTGTCGCTGGGCAATATGGACTTTCAGCTCCCTCCAAAACTAACAGGTCTGTGAGAGCTGGAATTCTTACTGGTTGGTAGGTGATCAAATACTTATGTCATGCAATAAAATGCAAATTAATTACTTAAAAATCATACAATGTGATTTTCTGGATTTTTGTTTTAGATTCCGTCTCTCACAGTTGAAGTGTACCAATGAAAAAAAATTACAGACCTCTACATGCTTTGTAAGTAGGAAAACCTGCAAAATCGGCAGTGTATCAAATACTTGTTTATATGCTGGACACTGACATTGCTCATTCTAATATTTCTGTGTTTCTTCATTCCTTTATTTAAATTTAGGGATTTGCGTGTATTGTTTTGTATTGTTCGGTATTACTGCACTGTTGGAGCTAGGAACATAAGCATTTTGCTACACCCGCGATAACATCTGCAAAATATGCGTACGCAACCAATAAAATTTGATTTCATTTTACTAGTTTGAATATTGGCCCCTCATCTTGCAGACTCTACCCTTTTAAAGTACACAAAAAGTGATTAGGGGTTGATTATGGACTTGGCCCATCATGTCTCGGGTTTTCTGCACAGTCCATCCGTCTGTTTGAGCGTGTGGTGGAGCAGGACCGAGATAGGCAGCAGAGACAGGAGGCCCAGGTAGCGCCCCCCATGGTGCAGGAGCTAGAGGTACAGGCCACCTGGAGCAGCCGGTGGAGCCCAGGGGAGTCAGGACAGAGCCTGCTGCCCAGAGAGAGAGTTCTGCCTCGGGTTCTGGAGAGCCCAGCACAGCCTCTAGTACTAGGCCTACCTCTTCCAGCCAAGCCTCAATCTCTAATCCACAGCCCCAGAGCAGCAGTGCAGCCCAGCATTCATCACAGGAAGACCAGGCAGCAGCCAGCTCAGACTCTAGACCATCAGCTTCTACAGAGTTAGTATTGCACTGCTTGTCTTGGCCATACCAATAGGACTGGTTGTTTCTCAGTGCTTCTTCAAAGCTTTAGGAAAGGGTCCACAAAGTAATATGTGGTAACCTGTTCTAGATGGGACACTTGCTTTACATATTTGCACAATTGCCCTACAAAATAGATGTTGGCAGTTTTGAATTTGGTAGAATCTCTCTGTTGGCATGGAATCGATCCCAACCCTTTTGTATTGAGTAGGCCTATTCATTTGTGTGTGTGTGTGTGTCTGTCTATCAGTGGTCAGGTGGTGCACCAGGCCAGTCCAGACAGTTACAACGGGGCGGTAAGGGACACCTACAGCTGGTCTCAGGACTACACTGCAGGTAGCTTAGTGGTTAAGAGCGTTGTGCCAGTAACCGAAAGGTCGCTGGTTCTAATCCCCGAGCCGACTAGGTGAAAAATCTGTCGATGTGCCCTTGAGCAAGGCACTTAACCCTAACTGCTCCTGTAAGTCGCTCTGGATAAGAGCGTCTGCTAAATGACTAAAAATGTTTAAAAAAAAAAAAAAATACACTGACGTCGAGGTCCGCGTCAACGTCCCCCAAGACCGTTGTCAAGGGCAGACAGGTAACCACGGCGACCACATGGTTCCTCTTTCTACATATTTCAAACCGTTCATACCTGCCAGTGTTGTGATGAATTTCCTGTGTCCAGTTTATGTGATTCCTGAGTTAAACATTTCTCCAGGAGTTGAAACATGTATGTGAAGGATTAATGCTATAGCTTTACATATTTGCTCAAATGCCCTACAAAATACATTTTGACAAATTAGAATTTGGTAGAATCTCCCTATAGGCATTGAATTGAACCAAACAGGGCTCTACAGTGCGGCCATTATACTCACATATGCGGCCAAATATTTTGCTGTGCGACGTGGAATTTTAATTTAGGAGCACCAGTGCGCCTAGAAAAATTAAGGATTCTAGCTTTACTATCTGAAATATTTTTCATTGTGCACCTACATTTCTTTGTGTGCGCCCACATTTTTCAATTTAGCCGCACCGGTGCTCCTTGTAAAAAAGGTCAGCGTAGAGCCCTGCACAACCCAGTTTATATTGAATAGGCCTATTCATTTCTGTGTGTGCGCGTGTGTGGTTCTGTCCAGGTGTGTGTGAACATGCAGTGTGCGTGTGTGTTTGAAGGAGGGAACAGGAGAGAAGGTCCTGATGGAAGGAGAACTCACTATGGAACCTGGAGCCCGGACACTGTGTAGTGGTGAGTACACACACACATCAGGAACGGGCATTTGAAATTATTTCACTGTTCAAATAATATCATTAAATTTTTTGGGATATCCGGATAGTCGTAATTCTAAAAATAAAAATAATCATTGCCATTGACTCAAATGCTGAGGGCAGTACAATAGCGGAGTGTTCTAGTACTTGAATCGGACTCAAATCACCATTTTCGTGACTAGGCCAGCGGTGACTTTGTTGTCAGGAGATCTCTCCTTTGCATAATTCAACATACTAGCTACAACAGCAGATATTAAAGCTGCAATATATGACTTTTTGGGCGAAATCCGTGACTAGGCCTGTGGTGACTTTGTTGTCAGGAGATCTCTCCTTTGCATAATTCAACATACTAGCTACAACAGCAGATGTTAAAGCTGCAATATATGACTTTTTGGGCCAAATCCGCATAGAAATCTGTGTTATAGATCTGTCATTCTCATTGAAAGCAAGTCTAAGAAGTGGTAGATATGTTCTATATGCGCTATTTCTATCCTTCCCATTCTTGAGTTTAGTTTTTGCCGTCTTTTACTTTCGGTTATGTACACCAGCTTCAAACAATTAAAAAATATAATATATGATTCTCTACACTATACTTGCTTGTTTTGTCACATAAACTGAAGTTAGGCGAACTATTCGAATTTGAGCAACCAGGAAATGGTGGCGCGATTTCTGCATATTGCACCTTTAAATAGCTCTATTATCTACTTAGCCTTACACAAATGTGCAACACTAATGAAATGTAGCTTAAAAATGGTTGGACAGCTACTTTTAGCACTACTGAGAGACTTGTGACTTGAGTATAAAGGACTTGGACATGGACTTGAACACTAGGGACTTGAGGTTTAGTGACTTGACTAGATAACTGTAACAGCGGACATGCTGCTTTTTCTTTTACTAACAGTGAACGAGAAGTCTGATGTTTGCCATGATAGAAATGATACAAGATACATTGATCTGTGTTATGTCCTCCGTTAGGTGCGCACCTGTAATCGCTATATGAAGAGGGGAAGTTAGCATACTGTTGTCAGGGCTGACTGGAGGGCTAAATGCCTAGCAGTAGCTCAAGCGACATTCAAAAGTTTGTTGTTTTATTAAAATTAAGAATTTCAAATATCATGGTATATCCTTGTATGTAACAATGTCACAATGATAATTTAATTAAGACAAAGCTTTTTAATTGATAAAAAATAAGAATACTCGCGTCCGTTCAGATATTCAAATAACCGTGCCCATCCCTAACACGCACATGCACCGATAGTCGGACACACACCTACAAATATGAATAGACTCTAACACACACTCTCCCTCTCTCTCTCTTGTCTGTAGTTGTCTCTCATTAAGAGTGGTGAGGTGTGGTGGAGTGCGGTGTTGAAGGGAGAGAAGGAGATTGATGTGAACCAGATCAACAGGGAGCGCTCCATGGCCACGGTGGACGAGGAGGAGCACGCCGTGCTGGACAGACTCACCTTCGACTACCACCAGAAACTACAGGGCAAGCCCCAGAGCCACAAGATGGTGAGAGCACACGAGCGGGCACACACACGGACGCGCGTACATACGTAAGCACACACACATACACTACCATCCAGAAACGAACCAAGTCTCATGATCTTGAAAAGGGTATAGGGGTACATGTGTATAGGACAGTGTTTCCTCTGGAAAAAATTATACCAGTGGGGGGGGGGGGGGGTTGAAGGGTCCCCCCCCAGATAATTTTTATGTAGAGAAGCTCAGTTCTGGTGACCTTTTAAAACGGACATTGTACTCGAAAATGAATGAAAATAAAATGACGCTGACACCATCTAAAATATAATTTCCACCTCCAAAAATTAAGCCCTATAACATATTGGTAAAATTAATTGTTAAAATGATTTTAACATATCAATTATGCTATTTGCAATAAACATTATCACCTGTAGCCCAACTGATGCAGCATAGCGGCTATAAATAAATATGCTGAAGCATGGGGTTGGCTATCTGCATTTACCCTATTGGGCTAATCATTAGCTAGATCCCAAATGTAATATTTTAACTAGTTAGCATCCTGTTGATTTAATTTTATGTCCCAAAAAACTTGCATAAACACAGTGAATATAATATAGGCCTACCAGTTTTGGTAACTTGGGGTAACCCGTCACCCGGGGTAACACGCTCCTTACCTGTACTTCTCACAGAAACATTTTACATTTACATTTTAGTCATTTTAGCAGACGCTCTTATCCAGAGCGACTTACAGGAGCAATTAGGGTTAAGTGCCTTGCTTAAGGGCACATCGACAGATTTTTCACCTAGTCGGCTCGGGGATTAGAACCAGCGACCACTTCATGTCACAGTTTTTTCCCCCAACACTTTCCCTGGTTGCCACTACTCTTGCTCAACTAAAAATGTAATCTGTCTCATCACAATTTAAGTCACTCCAAAAAAATGATTTTTAGGTAGGGTGGCATTTTAACACAAGTTACCATACAATTTACCCGCACTCTCCCCTACGCACTCACAGGGAATTGCAGAACATGCTTAACCATGACGCTCCTAAAAACTCCAGGCTTAAAATGGTGCAGTTTGCGCATATTTTTTAGTTGAGAAATAGATCAAGTAGGAATGGAAAGCTGGGAACCCCCTCTTTTTAACAAAGGCCATTAAAACTGCTGTTTTCCCCACGATTGCAAAAATGTGTGTGCATTGACTGCTTGTCAGAATGCAGGTTTCCCTCCCTATGGCACTCGTAACTTGAATGCGCCCTTAGAGGAATATTTATCTCGCATAGAACGCACAACAAGCAGCCGATTCAGGTAAAGATACTAAACAAAAATATAAACGCAACATGCAACCATTTCAAAGATTTTACAGAGTTACAGTTCATATAAGGAAATCATTTAATTGAAATAAATGCATTAGGCCCTAATCTATGTATTTCACATGAATACAGATATGCATCTCTTGGTCATAGATACCTTTAAAAAAAGTTAGGGGTGTGGATCAGAAAATCAGTCAGTATCTGGTGTGACCACCATTTGCCTCATGCAGCGCGACACGACACATCTCCTTCGCATAGAGTTGATCAGGCTGTTTATAGTGGCCTGTGGATTGTTGTCCCACTCCTCTTCAATGGCTGTGCGAAGTTGCTGGATATTGGCGGGAACTGGAACATGCTGTCGTACACGTCAATCCAGAACATCCCAAACATGCTCAATGGGTGACATGTCTGGCGAGAATGCAGGCCATGGAAGAACTGGGACATTTTCAGCTTCCAGGAATTGTGTACAGATCCTTGTGACATGGGGCTGTGCATTATCATGCTGAAACATGAGGTGATGGCGACGGATGAATGGCACGACAAAGGGCCTCAGCATCTCATCACGGTATCTCTGTGCATTCAAATTGTCATTGCTAAAATGCAATTGTGTCCGTTGTCCGTAGCTTATGCCTGCCCATACCATAACCCCACCACCACCATGGGGCACTCTGTTCACAATGTTGACATCAGCAAACTGCTCACCCTCATGACGACATACATGTGGTCTGCGGTTGTGAAGCCGGTTGGACGTACTGCCAAATTCTCTAAAACGACATTGGAGACGGCTTATGGTAGAGAAATTAACATTACATTATCAGGCAACAGCTCTGGTGGACATTCCTGCAGTCAGCATGCTAAATGCACACTCCCTCAAAACTTGAGACATCTGTGGCATTGTGTTGTGACAAAACTGCATATTTTAGAGTGGCCATTTATTGTCCCCAGCACAAGGTCCACCTGTGTAATGATCATGCCGTTTAATCTGCTTCTTGATATGCCACACCTGTTAGGTGGATGGATTATTTTGGCAAAGGAGAAATGCTCACTAACAGGGATGTAAACAAATGTGTGCAAAATTTGAGAGAAATAAGCTTTTTGTGTGTATGGACGAATTCTGGGATCTTTTATTTTAGCTCATGGGACCAACACTTGACATGTTGCGTTTTATATTTTTTTCAGTGTAGACAAATCAGACAACCCCATAGTAGAATCGTTTTTCTATTCATTACTTGTTTTGTTTTCAGAGGGAAAGTAAATATGGACTGTTCTAGCATCTTCAAAGTGTGCCTCAAAATACCTATTGTTTAATGTTTCATTTTTTGGGGCAGTGATGGCAATGATTTTGCCGTGGCGCAGCGCCACAGTTAAATGAGTGCAGCAGAAACAGTGGTATAGTGTATGGGCTGGACGTGTAGGATTGTGGTGCTGAACTATGTTGAGCCCAAGAGTGTTATTGTTAGACAAATTGAAAGCCCAATTGTGCAGTTTTGTATTTAGATTGTATGTACGTATGTATGTGGACATTCCATTCTATTTCTCTCTCCCCTGCATCTCTCTCTCTCTGTAGAAGGTACATGATATGCTGAAGAAGGGCTGGGATGCTGAGGGCTCTCCCTTTAAAGGACAACAGTTTGATCCCTCCTTGTTCGACATCCCCCCAGCGCCGTTCGACATCCCCCCAGCGCCGTTCGACATCCCCCCAGCACCGTTCGACATTCCCCCCAGCGCCGTACAGATGTGAACACAAACACACAATGTTGGGAATTGGTGTTGAGACTGAGGAGAGTTGGCTGTTTATTCAGTGGAAACAGGCTGGTATTTTAAGACAATTTTCTTTATTTTTTTGTGCAAACTTTGAATAGGAGGGAGAGAAACCCTCTGGAAGCTTTGTTTCTGTGTTCTGACTTATATGTAAGAACAGACTGAATCTGGGAGGTATCAACTGGTCTCCCTGAAAGCTCATTTTCATTTTCTGTTGCAAAACATTTTTAAATGTTTTCCGTTGTGGGCCCTAATGAATACAACCCTGAACTTACCTGTTTATGTATCTGTCCACTGAACAGACCTGGAAGATAGCTGTACAGTCACAGATCTATGATCAGCGTACCTTCCCAAATCCTAACCTTCACCATTGAGGTGGAGGATGCAAAACTGGCCTTAGATCAGTGTCTAGGGGTAACTTCCAGGTCCAGATATGTCTCAGTGGTGTTTTACATGTAGATTACTTTTATTAGTGGGCTAAATACCTCTCTGCCGTTTTCCTTTTACCAAGGTGTGTCAATATTTTTGTGTGCCTGAAATAAATTAAATTAAAACTTTAAATATGCACTGACGTGTTCTCTCTGTGTGTAGACTGTGTTTTTGTCACAGAAGGTTGGTGGCACCTTAATTGGGGAGTGCTGGCTTGTGGTAATGGCTGGAGCGGAATGAGTCGAATGGTATCAAACACATCGTTTCTATGTGTTTGATGCCATTCCATTTGCTCCGTTCCAGACATTATTATGAGCCGTCCTCCCCTCCGCAGCCTCCACTGGTGTTTGTGTGCTGTGGAGTGTCACTAAAACCTATGCGGTTTTAGATCTACAGGAGTGCCAGGCTGGCGGTCGACTTGAGATTCAGCAGTAGGGCCACAGGAGGGCGCTATCACAAGATTTCTGTTTCTCCTCAGTGCAGTATAATATCCCTTATTGGCTTGAGAATGGTTGTATCAGATGAATAGCTAGATAAGGATGAATATCAGAACTGATATAGCTAGAGCTAGTCAGATGCTTACAGAAATCACTTGCAGACAGGTCTTTGAAGCTCAAAAGGATTCTCTGTCTTTTTCAGATCTGAAGTGTAGATGCTTTGTTCCTAAGAATACAGTTGTTAGTGGTGACAGTGCAGAGGAACAAGCCAGGAATATAGACAGTAGTTGCCTATGACTATGCAGATATCTTCCTTCCCGGGTCAGTTACACTGGTACTTGACTTCACCCAGTACTTCAAGTGGACTGAAATAGGTGCCGGTAGGCTACTTTTTTTATTTAGGTGAAAGTATTCATACTTCAGAGGCAATTCTATAAGAGGGGCCAGTTATTTCAGGAGAAAATGTGGGGTACAGCGTTGAGCACCGGCCCACTTCAAGCACTGATGTTGCCCATGGACCAGACCTTGCTTTGAATTGGAGATGTAGGTGGTGTTGATAATCCTGAAAATACCATAATCCAAGTAGGCCTAAAGCAACCACTAAAATGTACTTTTGTTTGCATATTTGTATTTGTACAAATACCAGTTTACGTATCAGTCTAAAAGTTTGACACACTAAAACATAATCCATTTTTTTTTTGGTAGGCTAGATCAACAAAAAAGACGTCAATCAATTGTATAGCCTGTAGGCTGGCTTATACCTGTTCCAGCAGCAACACATGATGATGGTGATACTGCCAAAGCCTGTTAAATTATAATAAAATGTAAATGTACAGTCTATAGAATCTCTGTTGCTGTGGCTTCAGGTGTTATCGAGCAGATGCAATGCCCCCTGGTGGTAAGAAAAATATGTGTTGTATTTACAGCGCGCTCGATGGTGTAGAAGCGGCGTGAAAGGCGATTGAACGACACACTTTAGGAGAGCGAGAGAGTAGCACCACTGCCTCTCCTCCACTCGAATACATATCTGTAGATCCTAGTGCTCTCTGGTCAGAAAGCGCATTACACCGCGGCATTTTTTTACATAGTATAACTAGGCTACTCAACGGATACATCCTATTTCAATTCACTTGAGGACGGGATTATTTCGGGCGCACGACCCCGCGAATAAACGGACCATGGCAGTGATTACCTGTACACGTTTTACGGACGATTTCCAACTATATGAAGAACTCGGAAAGTAGGGTTTGCTGTATTATTGCTTTACGTTATGGCACGGATGCGGAAACAACATAGCCTTCACTGTATCGTCCTTACCCTGTTATTCTATGGTTGCTTTGCATCGTTGCATGTCTGCAGGTGTGTGTGTGGGTTGTTCGAGCGGCGGAATGGGGGTCAGAGCTCATCTCTACTGATGATCTGTCACGTTCGCTGCCACACAGCCCTCTAAACAAAACGCACGCTGTCGCTCTGCTTTGAGGTGTAGCCCCGAGACGACCCGATTTAAACGTGAAGATAAAATATAGACTACATTTGATCCGCTTGCTGCATGGTCTGTAACGGCAGTGATAGGGACTGGGGACACGCTGTAGCGATCTGGAGAGAGAGAGTGTGACAATTTGAGCTGTCAAAGAGCAGAGTGGGATGGGCTGTTTTGTAATTAGGGTCTTTAGAGCAATGGGAGACTGCTGAGGGGAGGACGGCTCATAATAATGGCTGGAACTGAGTAAATTGAATGGCATCAAACAAATGGAAACGTGGATAAGAGCATCTGCTAAATGACTAAAATGTAAATGTGAAAATGTGTTTGATACCAATCCACCTATTCTGCTCCAGCCTTTACCACGAGCCTGTCCTCCCCAATTAAGGTGCCACCAACTCGAGAGAGAGAGTTTATGTGCCACAGCAAGATAGGCATGTCAGGCTGTGCGTGGGTGGGGCTGGGTAGGGGGGAGGTTTTCTCCTCATTCTCAAACAGGAGGAGAAACATATTTTCTAGTTCATAATGCATCTTTATGCAAACACAACTGTAGAGATTAGGAACCAAACACACATTTGCTGTATGTATTAACATGAAGTTTAGCCTACTACTGTGAGTTCCACCAAGAGGTCTTGACCTTTAGGGCACAGCATGTAGTACACAGGGTCGCTGGTGTGTGTATGTGTGTGTTCTGGCCTGTGTTATAAGCCAGAGACAATAACCATGCTGTGGTAGAAGCAGTTGCCCAGTAGATAACAGGACCTTCATTACACGACAGTTCCTGTAAGGACAGCAGTTTGTCCCTTTTTGGTGTGTGTGTGTGTGTGTGTGTGTGTGTGTGTGTGTGTGTGTGTACTTGCGAGCATGTGTGGGTGTGCAATATATCTTTTTGTGTGTATCTCACATGTCATTCTCTGTCTTTCTCTACTGTCTCTGACTCGGAGCATTCCCAGTGGATACCCTTACACCCTCACCTGTCGTAGCATCTACGAGTGTGTGTGTGAGAGACGTGGGGTCTAGTGTATGCCTGAGAGTGTGTGAGACACAGTGGACGGGTAAGAGTGTGTGTTATTGTGTAACGTCTATATATAGCTCAGAGAAACGACAGAGACGGTTACTGCTGTTTTTCCCTGCTGAGTTAGTTATGCAAGCACTCCCCAAAATATCAGCACTGCTACAGTGCACACACACTCTCTCGCTCTCTCTTACTCTCGCTCACTCTCGCTCTCTCACTCACAAAAATGGACACACAGACACATGTGCATACACACACACACAAGCACACAAAGAGATATCCTTGAAAGACAGTTTTGTTGTTTTCTCTTGTCTTCTCATTTGCATATATCCTAAGCAGGATGTGCTGCTGTGCGGTGTGTCACATGTGTCACACTCAAATTACTCCATACAGGAGAAATGTCTTTACATGAAATGACAGGATACTAGGTGTAAGCAGTAGAGGGGTAGTGGACAAGGATATGCTTTCAACCTGTCCAGTTCTTTCAGATCAGTGGGAATGAAGGAAATGAGACAATGGACAGTAAAGGAATTGACTCTAGAATATTTAGATGCTGCCAGTGCTATATAATGTCTTAACACCTGTTTTTACCTTCCTTTGTTTCCCAGGGGAGCGTTTTCAGTGGTGCGCCGCTGTGTCAAACTCTGCACTGGCCAGGAGTACGCTGCCAAAATCATCAATACCAAAAAGCTCTCAGCCAGAGGTGAGACATACACCCTCCCACACACAACAACTGAGTGCCATCTGCACAGTGGGTACACTGTGTGGTATCTGGTTAAATTAGAAACTCTAACGTTATCTTAGTCCTCATCCTTATGCAACGTGTGTATGAGAGAGAGAAGGAGGGATGGATGGAGAGAAAGAGAGAGAGAAAATGGGTACGTCTGCTCATCAGTGGCTGAGGCTAACAGGAGAAAGCAGAGGCGTTTGGCTGATTGTTCCTCCTCCTCACACTGCCTCTAAGTGTGTATGTGCATGCAAGCATGTGTCTCTGTGTGTGTGCGCGCTACTGCTGTCCCAGATCTGCAAGCGAACATTAGCATATTTTAGCTCATGCTTGATGAGAGAGAGAGAGAGAGAGAGAGAGAGAGAGAAAATATATATAGAGAGAGAGATGATATATATATATATATATATATCGAGAGAGAGAGAGAACATGATATATATATATATATAGAGAGAGAGAGAGAATGATATATATATATATATATATATATATATATATATATAGAGAGAGAACATGTGATATATACAGTGGGGGAAAAAAGTATTTAGTCAGCCACCAATTGTGCAAGTTCTCCCACTTAAAAAGATGAGACAGACAAAATGAGAAAAAAAAATCTAGAAAATCACATTGTAGGATTTTTAATGAATTTATTTGCAAATTATGGTGGAAAATAAGTATTTGGTCAATAACAAAAGTTTCTCAATACTTTGTTATATACCCTTTGTTGGCAATGACACAAGTCAAACGTTTTCTGTAAGTCTTCACAAGGTTTTCACACACTGTTGCTGGTATTTTGGCCCATTCCTCCATGCAGATCTCCTCTAGAGCAGTGATGTTTTGGGGCTGTCGCTGGGCAACACAGACTTTCAACTCCCTCCAAAGATTTTCTATG